GCGTCACGCAGCAGAGCCGCCAGCACAGCAGATGGCTTCGATCTCCTCTCCCTTCAGTCGATGCCCGTGTCTCGTTGTCGTCCAGAGCTTGCCCATAGGTGGACGCCATCGTTGTGTGCGAAGTGCTCGATGCCCTGCCCTCCATGCACAAGGATGCCAAGCTCTCACCCCGAATCCCAGGTCAACTCATCCTACCCTGCCCCGAGCTCGTCCACACCACCGCCACTACACGCTAAGTGTTCGAAGCCCTAGCTGTCGCGTATGAGGATGCAATCAACACAGCTCGTGGAACCGGTGGAGGTTGCTCCAATCTTGTCCCGCCGCTGCCCTGAGCACCTACAGGCCGCCGCCGCCAATTTGATTAGGAGTCACTGATGCGGGCGACGCTCTCTTGGCCGCCGCGCCGCTTCAATGTCGGCAGCCTTAGAGGTCGCGTCCGCTCTAGGTGGGCATGAATGGGGCATTGACGCTCTGGAGCGGCGTTGACCGTTTTGGAAGGGAAGCGCGCGCATGCGAAGAAGGGAGCTAAGGGTCAGCCACAGCTGGCATACGTGGAGGTGACAGCGGTTCGGACGCCCGCAACCCCCCTCCTCCCCCTCTCCCTAGTTTGTCTCCGGTTTACAGGAAAAAGCATATTTAGACTGTCCTGCGGACCGATGCAGGACCGCGTTGGATGAAAAAACACGTTGCGGTGCGGACGTATGCGGACGGTTGGATCAGCATTGGAGATGCCCTTACGAAGCAAACGAAATTAGTCCCCCTACACTATCTCTCTTGTTATTTATGGCTCACCAACGTTACTAATGTTTTGTTGCAACTATGGTAGAAGTTTAGAATCGTGCAAATGTATGTGTCTGCAGTTTGGTTTCAGGCCAACAACTATCCATCGTTAGTAGTTCCAGCTTTCAAATGCAGATCAACAGTTAATTACAAGCATCATGCACTCTATGCTTTCCGAATGAATTGTTTGCTCTAAATATATTCTGAGCACTATTTATGCAATGTTCTGTATGACAAAAATACGAACTTTGTGCACATAAAACAATGTAGAGAAACAAATCGTGTTGCTTGTCATGAAAATGTGAGATGACAACCAAGACAGCGTGAAGTTAAAGCTATGGTATGCGAGAGGAATCAAAGTGGCATGTGTATATAAATCATTGTGGCTACTTCGCTCAACCACCCATCATAAATCAAAATTATTTCATCTGCCAACTTGGATTTTACTTTGGATTTTGCTTTGTCCATATACGCATGTCAATATCCAAGCCACTTCATGTGAGGTTGCTCAACTACATGATTTTTCTATCTGCTTGGTTGTTCTCAACTTAGGCCCTATTCGGCAACACTCCACTCCTTCGACGGAGAGGAGCGTGCGGAGCGTCAGATTGGCAGCTCCCCAAATTACAACTACATGCCGCTCCGCTCCGTAGTAGAGTTACGGAGCGAAGGGATTCCAAACAGGCTCTTAGTTTATTAATTTGACAGAGCAGTAGAGCCTACCACAACCACACCAGGATCGATCTAACTTGGTGCGGTTTCACCTATTGCTGACACTGTGAAACTCTCCCTAAAGCATATATAACTACCCAAGTACTCTATTTACACACGATATGCGACATGTGTGTCGGTGCTAACATGCACACACTTCATCGAAAATACAGAAATGGGTGGCATCAGAAAAACATATTTGGCTTATGTCCTTACAGTTCTAGAGAGATTGTGCCCACCGGCAATCACGACGCACAGCTTCGTTTGGGCCAGCTGAACTCCTAACTTTATTTGCAAGGACGGACTGTCGGCCTCGAGAAGAGTAGCTGCTGGAGAGCCAAAGCACCAAGCAATATGGGCCTCTTTGGATTGAAGGATTTTCATAGGAATATTGAAGGATTCCAATCCATTGGATTTTTTTCCTAAAGAAGCCCTTTGGATCAAAGGAACCACACCTCCAAAATTCCTATGGATGCATTCCTACACCTCAATCCTATAGGAATTTCAACATCCACTATAACCTCTTTTTTACACTGATTCGCGTAGGATCGAGGCACTTTTCCTGTGTTTTTCCTGTGTTTCATCCAAATGACCATTCTTGTAGTTTTCCTCTATTTTGTAATCCTCTGTTTTGCACCTACAATCCCGTCAAATTCCTGTGTTTTTTGAATTCCTTCGTTTTCTAATCCTGTGATCCAAAGAAGCCCTATATAGTGAGTCTTTCTGACAAAGACCATTTATTTGCGCGTGCCTTAGTCGTACTTGGAGCATGCCTGATACAATTAGTCTACGTATTAGTTTTGGTCAAAGTCAAGCTTTGTAGATTTTGACAAAAGTTTATAAACAAAAATATTGCTTCCTCATTCCCGAAATCTAAGACGCCGATTGACTTTTCTGGTCTTTGTTGCATTACTTTGCCTATAATTTTCACATATTGTATGTCTGTAAAATTAGCATACAGACATATGGCATAAAAAATATCTTTTTCTGCGGGTGTCGCATAAAATTATTTTGTAAGTCAAATACGAAGATGTCATTTACGCATTTTCAATCCATGTACTTTGATATATATATCGGTGATCAAAGTCATGCATCAAAGACTATGCAAAGTCAACCACGCCTTATATTTGGGGAAGGAGGGAGTAACATATATACATTAACAAATCAATATTCATTAGATTCATGATTGAGTGTACTTTCACATCATATAGATTTGTTACGGTAAATGTTTATATTTTTTTTTTCTATACACTTGGTCAAACTTTAGTCAAACATAATAAGCAGAGTAAATGAAAACAAAGGGAGCAGATTGCAATTTTCTTTTCCAACAACAACAGATTTCTTATTGTAGTATCAGTTCACCATGGTTGTTGTCTTTGTGTGGTTTGACCGCGATAAAGTAGTTTAAAGTAATTCATTTTGCACTAGTTTTAGTGAGTGGTCGCTGTATATAATTCGTACGAGGTTCCTGTATATAAATGGAAAGTGTTGGCATGGCTCGTATGCGTACGTGAGCGCATGTGCATGTGTGTTTCAATCAGTAAAATAAATGTGTGCTTATCTTCCAGACACCATACAGATCCCTTGCCATCTCCGTGATAATGCGACCCAATATGGTCTTCTCCAAATCCATATCCATGATGACTTCGTCCTTCTCGATCGGCACCATACTTCTGGGTCCGTCAATCTAACGTGTTAGTATATGCGTCAGATCGGCATCCGGGCGGTTGTTATGAATGTCACTCTGAAATTGTTAGATGCAAAGTTTCAGCCGTGTCATTTTTAGTATACCGCCACCATATAATTCTCTGACAAGGTCAGCAAGGTATCGCACTTTCAGTTTAGCAGTGCATTCCAAGTTGACGTCCTCCATCTCCTCGGTCCGTTTACCTTAATTTCCTTATGACCATTTACAAGGTCACTTTGGAGAGTCCGAGATTAATTTCTGGTCACCTCGTGGACAGTCCAAGATTAGTTTCTAAACCAACATGCAACTTGACACGGTGTATCCATTGTAAGCACTTGTAGTTTTCAAATGCAGAACAACAGTTACAAGCATCATGCACTCTATGCTTTCTCAATGAATGATTCGCTATAAGCATATTCTGACCGCTATTTATGCAGTGTTTCGTGTGACAGAAATATGAACTTGTCCGCACAGAAGAAGGTGGAAGAACGAATTTTGTTGCTTGTCATGCAATTGCGATCGAGATGATACCCAAGACAGAGTGGAGTTGAAGCTATGCTAGTGAGAGGAATGAAAGTGGTATGTGTATATATACAAATCAACGTGGCTACGTTTCTCAACCACCGGTCATGAATTAAAACTATTTCATCTACCAACTTGGATTTTTGCTATGTCTATATATACATGTCAATATCCAAGACACTTTATCTGAGGTCGCTCAGCTGCATGATTTTTCTATCTCCTTGATTGTCCTCACCTTAGTTTATTAAAAAATATTGACCTGAACCTTACTTTATTAATTTGACGGAGAAGCAGAGCCTACCAGAACCCACACCAGGACCGATCTGACCTAATTTGTTCCACCTCTTGTGTTACTTGTTGCCAACTACTCCATGTAGACAGACACGAGATGCAACATGTGTGTGCCATGCACACACTTCTTTGAAGTGCAGAAATGGGTGGCATCAGAAAAAACATCTTTGACTCCTTTCTCCAGAGTCCTAGAGAAACTGTGCCGACCGGCGACCATGTCGCATAGCTTCATTTGGACCATCAGAAATCCTAGCTTCATTTGCAAGGACGGACTGCGGGCCTTGAGAAGGATGTCTGCTGGAAAATTGAAGCACCAACCAGTATTCAGTGAACCAACTTGACATTGGTCATCTTCTTCGCTCTCACTGTGGGTGCAACTTGGAGCATGACAAATACAATTTGGCAATTCGCTATGCATTGTACTCAAAAGTCACAGTTCAGCACAACGAATCTCCATCTGCCGCGCCTAGCTGCTAGTTACATTGTACAATTCAGCACATGTGTGTTTACTATGCCATGTTTTTAATAAAAATGTGTGCCTATGTTCCAGCCACTATATAGATCTGTGACACCTCCGTACGTGATAATGCCACCCAATATGGTCTTCTCCAAACCTATGACAACTTCATTCTTCTCGGTCGACAGCTCTCACACATTGTTCGAACCAAAATCCCAGATGGAATAGCCTGACCTAAGGGCGGTTCACCAGATTCGAACTTGGTCTTCCAACTTTCCATGATGAAATAAGGGATTCCCCCCTGATATGCAAATATAGGATGTTAATAGGGCATGGAAAGTTCGAATTGAAACAATGGCACATTTCCTTACTACTAGGAAAAAACCACAACCTTGTCTTGTGTCAAAAAAAGGAGAACGGAACACACATATTTCCTTAACATAGAGAAACCTCACAGAAGTTATTTACAGCGAATAAACGTGGTACAGATCAAAAAATTAGCCTAACCTAATGACCTCAATCACTCTAAAAGTTTTCTCTCCACAGCTCCACTCAAGCCACGCAGGGACAACAGCCATGTCGTACCGATACTCCGATGAGATCCCTCGCCACGTCGGTGATGATGCCACCCAGTATGTTCTTCTCCAGATCCCTGACAACGTCGCCCTTCTCCATCGGCAGTTCCCACACGCGGTTCCACCCGAAATCCCACGTCGAGTTGGCGTCGGGGTGGTCATTCTGAATGTCACTCTCAAGTATCCTACGCAGATTTTCGGCCGCGCGATTGTCACCCTGCTGCTGAGTTCTCTTGGACTTTGACATGTCCAGGCTCTCGACGTCGCCGTCCAGCTCTCTGACGAGATCGTCAAGGTATTGCAGCCTCAGGTTGGCGGCGCGCGCCACGCTGACCTCCTCCATGGCCTCGCTCCTCTTGCCTTTCCTTCTGACCACCTCCCGGGCCACGTCGGAGAGGAGGTCGTTGCCTTTGTCGACCGACCAGTTCGGTGCACCGGCGTCAGCGTCGATGAAACTGACGGGAGCGTCAACTCTGACGATCGCCTTTGCGGTTTCCAGCAAGTACCGATCCTTTACCAGCAGTCTCATGAGCAGGAGTTGGTTCTCTGTCAAAGAATCGCATGTAACAACATGTGTCTTGTGATCCTGCAAATTTTCAGTACTGATGGACGTTGTGGTATGATCATTAGAGCCTGCAATAAAAGCATATGGTGCTCCATTCAATTGCTTTTTAAACAGAGTGAAAATTTCTTCAGTTTAGTACTACAGGACAATAGGACATCAAGAACATGCGTACCGTCAGTTAGATGCTCTTTCACTATCATTTGTTGCCGCTGTTCTTCCTCCTCGGTAAATGCTTCCCGTATCACTATCGTTTGTTGTTCTTGTTCTTGTTGTTCTTCCTCGGCAAATGTTTCAGGCATTTGTGTAGTCTCACTAGGTGTGTGGTCGACCCATTCATCCTGCATTTTACACCAAATTGCACGCTTCATTAGAATGATAATAAAATTTTGCACACGCGCAGATTGTTTAAGCAGGGTGCCTAGTTTGGACAAACTTACATTTGTCTCAGGAATCGTACTCTGATCCAAGACCTTCAAATCCTCAGTTAGTTGCTTTTTCACTATCATTTGTTGATGTTGTTGTTGTTGTTGTTGTTGTTGTTGTTGTTGTTGTTGTTGTTCTTGCTGCTGCTGTTCTTCCTCGGCAAATATTTCAGGTATCTGTGTAGTCTCACTAGGTGTGTGGTTGATCCTATCATCCTGCAATTTACAGAAAATTCCACGCTTTATTAGAACGATGATAAAATGTGTGCACGGAGAGTTTAAGCAGAGTGCCTAGGTTGGACAAACTTACATTTATCTCAGCAATTGGAATCTGATCAAGGAACTTCAAATCCTCACTTGCATGTACAACAGTCTCTGCAGGAATTGTAGGATCACTGATTCCTTCAGTTATTTTCTGCAAAGGTTGGTCCAAAGAAATTGCTTCAGCTGTGCTGCTGTCTCTCACTACCACTGTCAATGGTTCCGACAAACCGACTCCGCCATGAGTGCTATCTGCTGGTTTGTTAGAACTGATAGTATCATTTACTTTTGCATCTACCTCATTCTCCTCTTGTGCCACTACAGTGTACTCAAGCTTCTTTCTCATATGTCCTGCTTCTGACAACAGTGACTTCTTGTTTTCCAACTTCCGGTTTGGTGCTTCGCTATGCGTTGCCCGACGATTTTGCGGTTCCCTCGGTGTTTCAGTTGCTTTCTCACTAGATCCTTCAGTTATTTTCTGTAATGGTTGGTCCAAGGAGGCTGCTCCAGTTATGTTGCGGCCTCTCACTACTATTGCCAATGGTTCTGACAAACCGCCTTCGCCATGTGTGCTATCTGCTGGTTTGCTAAAACTGACATGTTCTTTTGCAAGTTCTTCATTCTCCTGTTGTGTCACCACAGTATACTCAGGCTTCTTTTTCATATGCCCTGCTTCTGGCATCAGTGCCTTCTTCTTGTTTTCCAACTTCCGACTCGGCGTTTCGCTCTGCATTTCCCGACGATTCTGCGGTTTCCTCGGCTTGCTTTGTCTGTCTACATGTTTACTTTGCGCTTGATGTTTGACCTGATCTGTCTTCCCATTCTTTCCTGCAGCCTTGGTTTCTGCAGTGGCAAGGTTCTCCTTGTTAAGCTTCTCCCTCGCCTTCCTTGATTTCGCCTCGCCGTCTCTCCCCAGCAACCGTCTCATGCCAGTGGCCTGCTTCTTTCCAGCTGCTGCACTCTTCTCCTGAGCACTCTGCTTCTCTTCCTTGACAGGCCTGTTGTTGTCTGAATTCTTCCTGAATCTCTTCAAAAAATCCATCCTCTTACCCGAATCGGCGCGGCACCCGACGCTGACGGAGTTCTGCAGTTTGATTTCTTCAGCAATCCCCTTGTCCTCATGGATGATCCTCTCCTCTACTTCTTGTTTTTCATCAGCTCCTCTCTCTGCTGCTACCATCTTTCTCAGCACCTCCCTCATGGTCAGCCTTCCTTGCCTGCTATTACCAGTTGCAGTTGCAGGGTGTGATGAACTGTTTGACAGTGCAGCAGCACCCATTTCAGAGTCCCCAAAGTTTGTCTTCCACTCCCCTGACAACACAATCTTGTGCTGACCCTTCTCTGAAGCTATGATCCGTATCGGCAGTTTGCGGTTCATCGCATCTGCTTTGATCTCCATTCTTGGCACAGCTCCAGGTTTCACAAACCTCTCCGTCCCCTTGCGCTCCGCGACGGTCTTCGTTGTCGTCGACGTCGACGAAGGCAGGTTCTCCAGCCCCATCAGCTTGGCGATCACGCTCGGCATCCTCACCTTCGAGCCATCCTTTTCACCTTCAGAAGCACTGTTGATCTTGGAGCTGCCTGGACCAGACTGAATAACTGAGCTACTGTCTGCATTCCGATGGCTCTGAAATTTGTCGTGGACAACCATCTGCATGGAAGCATTTTTGGCACGCTCAGCATCTGAATCTTCGTCGACGATCTCCTCGATCCTCGCGGAGCGCGCCGCCGCCAAGCCCTTGAGGTTCTCCTTGCCCTTGAGCCCGCTCCCCGACCCTTCCATGTACCGGGAGGCGTCCTGGAGCATGACCAGCATGCTCAGCGCCTCCTCCATGTCCATGGACCCTCTGAAGAGCTTCCTCCGGGCCTCGTCGTCGGGCCTCCTCCTCCCGCCCGAGGAGTAGGCCGCCATGAGCATGTCGTTCAGGTCCTGCACCCCGATCGCCACTTCGCCGGCGGGCGCGCCTGTACCTCCTCCGGAAGGCGGCGGCGGCGGCAGGAGGTAGCCGCCGCCGCCGCCGCCGCCGCGACGGGCCGTGTCCGGCTGGCGGAAGAAGACGGAGCCGTTGCGCGCCACGACCTCCATGTTCCGGAGCTTCCCGCCGTCGCTGAGCGCGAGGGCCAGCGCCGCCATCTGCACGTCGACGCTGCTCGCGACGACGGCATGCTCTGGCTTGCGGTCCCCCGCGTCTCCTCCCTGGAACGGCACGATGGCGCGCGCGTCGGCGTCGGCGGCGACAGGGCGTCCTCGCCGTGGCTTGGCCGCGCTGGCCACGGCGGCATTGCTGGTGCTGGGTTGCTGCTGGTGCTGCGATCGAGCGCAGTGGAGGTCAATTGGTTACGACGGTATAGAAGATTTGGAGCGCAGATGCATCAAGATTTTGGGTTGGGGCTTGTGCTCTGCTTACTGATGATCTCGGTGCCGTCGTTGCTTCTGGTCTGCTCGATCGAGGGGCGGCTGCTGCCTGCTGCGGCCTCTGGCTTGTAGATGGTTTCTGAGAGTTCGAGCAGGCATCTGCAACAGACATCAAATTCAGTAGTCATGCAGCACCATCAGAATTTCTACATGGTCTTTTCGATGAGTACCAGTATCATCAGTTCATCATAGTCACTGCTTGAACGAGAACTGAGTGCAAAGGAAATGCAAGAGCAGAGTGCAAAGCAAACACCGACGGGAAAACATAACATACCCCGAGACGCGGCGGCGGCCGACGGCGAGCCGAAGCCGAGCCTCTGGCGGCGTCGGCGGAGGTCGTGCAGCATCTTCTGGGCGAAGTCGGAGCCGAGGTCAGGCACCCTGGCGGCCATCCCTTACCCGTCCGTCACCAGACGACACGCCCACCGCCCCTGCACCGCACCATGAAACAAAACCACCGGCCGGGGAAAGAAGGTTAGGTGCGGTGCCTGAAAAACACAATGCCGTCGGGTTGGTGCGTGAGAGCGCCCAGGCGGCAAGGCCTCTCGTTTTCCTCCACCTTTTTTCCCTACCTTTCTTGAGGAATGGGTCAGTGAGAGAGGGGAGTGAGGTGGGGGGGTCTCGTCCGTCCGGGGAGCAATCTGCAGCTGCGGTGGTGGATGGATGCTTTCAGGCGGTGGTGAGAGCAGGAAGGATTGATTGCCGTGGAAGCTACTACATGCGTATGATGCCACTGGCCTCTTCTGTCCGGTCCGGTCTGGTTTGCATCTCCAGTTCACCCACATTCCAAGCAAACTACTTACCACCCAAAAGCAAACTACTTGCCGCATTTGGGAATAATCACCCATAATCTCTGCCTGCGGCTTTTGATTAGTAGGTGGTAGTGGGGGTGGTTAGGTTAATGCCCTCCCTTTTGACCATGATTTGCAGGGAGAGTATAATGTGGAAAACGTAAAGTGGGTTTTTGGTTGTGACATTGACAAAAAAAGATACTACTACAGCTTTAAATAAGGTACTACTGAGCTTTAAAAAAAAAGAATGTACTGTACTGATATGCACCAAAGTTTTTAAGAGAGAGGATGATTGGTTGAGGTGCGGCTGCGAGTTAAAACATGCATTTTCAGTACTGCGCAAGGCTTGGAAAGATGCTCACGTTTGGGGATGTACTGTACACTACTCAACTCCCTCCTGCGCCATTGGTTTTGCCTGCCGTTAGGATGATGATGATGATTAAGAGACGGTTATGCTACACCATCTCCGGTATTAAGGGCCTACAGCGACCTCCTTAAATACCATTTATCAGAATATACTTCGTGACCATACTAGATAGCCATCCATTGTATAACTAGCTAGTACTCCTAGTAGTCAAACATTTCTAATTTTGGCCACTGATATACATATATACAAAGATTATCGAGATTGGTCAAATAAAAATCACAAAATATATTGCATGACTATGTATCTCTTTACTAACAAATTCATATTAAAAAAAGGATCATATTCCATCTTGAAGACATCATCAATATCTAAAACATCATATCAGAGATACTACTACAAAACACTGGTTACGGTACAACAAGTTTGAGCTGAGCTCCACACCTTTTTTCCTGTCCTGGAATTTGTGTGGTTTTACAATTATGATTTACTCATAAAGGAACAGGACAGGCCATGCATCATACCAGCACAAACTGTACAAAAACGAAGACAGGTATCAAAAGTTCGACAACACAAACAAGATGGATAGTGGCGACCAACACAAACCTAAAAGCGATCAAAAGTTCGAGAAAAAGCTCAAAGTAAACCATATGACACACATAACAGGCCACCTAATCAGGTTCCCTCTGCACAACAAGTCATGGCTTGCAACAGTTCTTAGGTGCAACATCACCCTCAGGACTAAACACTGCACTTGCCGGTCACCTAAAGTTCCTTCATCAATACATTTTTAATTCAGAAAGAACCATCTAATGCTCACAGCAACATCAAGCGACTCGACCCGACTCGACTCTTTATTTTATTTTTACTATACATATACATACTCGCATTTACATACCTCAAAGGGACAAAAATGGTTGGCAGTGCACACAAGCTGCAGGAGGGGAGAACACAAGGCCTCGCTCATCTATCACTAGCATGGGCAGCAAGATGGGCAGTCAGTTTCCTATATACTTGTGGGAAGCGTTGGCCATCAGGGCAGTCGCCGCCTGAAGTTCCTGCTGGTGCCTTGGTATGTCCGGACCAGCAGGCCAACACCCAACCCGACGCCCACGCATATGCCGAGGCCGATCCCGACTCCAACCCGCACGCCAGCATTAAACCATGAAAGCTCACCATCCTCGCCCTCTAGAAAGTCCTGCCTCGAGTACAAGCTGTTATAGTCCATGTCCACGTCTGTCTCAGACTTGGGATCATAGAATTCTGATACCTGAAATGGGAGACGGGAAAGGAAATAATACTGTCAATTATCCCATCAAATTTGGACTTGGTGTTCAACAGATATGGCAGCAAATAACTGAATATTCAGATTCTAACATAGTTCTCCTTGGAATCTCGATTGCAGTTTCCTTGATTGAGAAACATGTTTGGTATTGTTCTTACAAAATAACAAGTGAAAATGACTTGATGCTAGTCAAGCAAGATAAAATAAAGGGCAGGCATAAATCAACAGCCAGAAGTTGATCACGAGCCCGAATGAATACTTGTGTGATAGCACTAAGAGAACTGCCACATGAGCATAAATCTGGGCAGCAGGCCCAGTCAACCAATGGAATTTGTACTGAAAAAAATTGCCAGTCTGCTTTTCATTCTTATGGTCTTACTATGCTGTGTCGCTAAAGTCTAAGGTTCTGCGTGCTGTACAATTCACCCATTTAGTTAGAATTCAAGCATTTGGCAGTCGGCACATGTACTTGAGAATGCCAGAGTAGGGCATCTAACAGCTACAACGTAAAGAGTGAAGTTACTCTAGCTAGGATAACCTGAGTCAAAAATATAAACTTCATGCTATATGTAGGATCAATATGGATAATTTGGCTTGTGGGGTAACCAAGGAAACTGAAAATTGTTGTAATGAATGGTATATCCATGAGTCTACAACTTCTGCCATGAGGTAGCAACCTTAAAACCCTCTATCCAGTATCCATAGGTACGTATAGTGATTTTGAGTTAAAAGTAGACAACAGTGGCATCTCTATAAAACTGCAATTGAGATTCCATGGGTAATGATCTGAACTGATGGACTTGAGCACTGAAAATTCTCAAAGTGAACATGCCTTAAGGTACAGTACTACAGTATCAATCAGGTGCCTAAGTTCCTAGTTCAGATGAGCATACATCTTCTAGCCAGATAGTATTCTTTTTTACAATGACACCTGTCAGTGTTCAGTTTCACCTACGGTTCATTCTGTTTAAAGAGTGTATGCACAGCGCAAATGTCCAAAATATGCACCACAACAAGAAGTTTCATCGTGGGATATGTATTGACTAGTTACTGTTACAAGGTCCTATATTTTCTCCTAGTCATCCTCATAAAAGAATAATTAAGCAGCAGGTCAGAAGCAAGATTCAGAAAGAAAAGATTGCACTTGCACAACATGCTGCAATCTGTATCATGTGCAAGCCTATTTATCCTGGTATATAGTGGGTTGCTTCGCAATAGCATCAATATCAGAAATGGGTCGAAATATGTTGGTATTAATTTAGTAGCACCAACATAAGATCGCATATATACGTGTAGGTAAATAGGAGCCTATTTATCCTGCTGAAGTTAAAATTTTGATTGTGCGCACTACTTGCAAGAATATATAAAAATGGTACATTCAATATAGCTAAATGGGCTATATAAGCAAGAGAGGTCGGGTTAGACCAAACTTGACATGGGAGGAGTCCGTGAAGAGAGATTTGAAGGACTGGAATATCACCAAAAAAACTAGACATGGACAGGGGTGCGTGGAAGTTATCTATCCATGTGCCAGAACTATGAGTTGGTTTCAAGATCTTATGAGTTTCAGCTCTAGCCTACACCAACTTGTTTGGGACTAAAGGCTTTGTTGTTTTTGTTGTTGGCTATATAAGAAATTTACCCAGAGAGGATACATTTCAATTGATGTTTATCATAGCGAATATGGCACGGGCACATCACCATTGTGCTAGAAAAATGCCGATTAAACTAAAACAGTCCAGCACCCCTCCCAATATTTTTAAGCCCGGGTGATCATACAATGTTATATTAAAGGGACAGACATGAGATCAAACAAATGCCAGGAACTCTAGTGATGGTGACTGTGTGGATACGCAGTGAAGTACCTTCACAGAGTCCCCGTGTGAGTTCTCTGTATGTAGTTCAGTTGCTTCATTCTCAGGGATAGAGTCCAGCTTCAGTTTCATCTGGGACTTCCTCCGTGATATATACTGGACCGTCTTGGTTAATATAATTGGCGTGCCAGAGAAAGTGCCAGCAACGTAAACCTCGACAACAGGATGCGCAGAGTCTGGGCCCGTGGACATCTTCCCCTTCAAGAAACCACTAGACGATGCCGAGGATTGGCACTTGATATTCCATTTCTTGCTGCTGCTCTTCGGTTCCCCGACCACACCATTGGCATTGCATAACTCCAGGTCCCCGGTGAGCAAGAGATCGTTCTTATCAAACACCTGGAACCTTACGCTCCCCGTCATCCTTATGCTATCCGTGCTCACGTACGTGGCCTCCTCGGTCTTCTTGTCGATCCTGTCCCTTCTGAGGGACGACGAGACGAACTCGGTGTGCATGCTGCTCCGCCGCCCGTTGACCTCGATGACCGTGTCGGGGGACAGCGGGATGTGGTTGAGCGTGAGATGGTCCGGCGCGGACTCGTCCACCATGCAGTTGCTGACCCTCACGTAGAACACCTTGAGGTCGAGCCAGGGCGAGGACCTCGACGCGTAGAGCGGGTGCATGATGATCTTCCTGGCAGCCTCAAAAGCCACCCCGTCGCCCATCTTGATCTTATTGCCGCGCCGCCACGACGAGGAGAAGACGCAAGCTACAGCACCACAGAAGCTGCTATTCCTCTATACCTGTGAAAGATAAATTTGAGGTTAGTACAAGAAGAGCTGGGTTTAAGTGACATAATCTTAAGAAAATCCATCTAGCCGCCTAATTTTAGCACGAACACCCGGTCAATTTATTGCATAGAACATCGAACATGAATTCGATTGACTGCAGGCACCGGGGGAACGGGGGCTCAATCGAGACCGGGAAATTTGGGAAATTATTAAGCTGCTAATAGATAATACGGACTGCACAACCCGACAATCAAAATCCACGACGAACCGTACGGATCGGCGCGCCCATCCCATCCCAGAAAAGAAAATTTCTAATTCGATTGCCCATGGCAAAGAGAAAACGAAAAAAAAATGGCAAAACGAGCAGGTTAGGGTTCGTCACCAGCAAAGGGGATCAATCCCTGGGCGGGCGGGCTCCGGGCGGATCTCCACCGCGCACCGGTGGAGCCGAGGAGGAGGCGGAGGCGGACGCCGGGTCGGAGAGGAGAATCCCCTCCGTCTGGTGCTTCCGTTGGGTGGACGGAGGGGCGCGCTGGCGGGGGATCGCGAGAGGGGCAGGGAAAAGGGAGGAGGATAAGCACTCGGCGTCTAGGGGAGAGGCCTGGAGGTGGAGGGGGTATATTCGATATTTTCCGGGTCGTTTTTGGACGCAATACCGTGGATGGTTTTGGTCTTTCTCACCGTTTGACTATGTATGTTTTGGTGGTTTTTTCTTCGCTACAAATTGCCATCTTCTTTCTTTTCCGGGGTTTGCCTTCCAAATTGTCGTCTTCATATTGCGTTTTTTTGCAGCTAGGCTGTACACACACACACACACACGCACCAATTTTGGTGTCTTGGTAGCAGAGGTGAATTACAATCACAACAGAACTAGCATTGATGCTGTCTCGTGAGAGAGCGGGCAGGCGAACGAAACCCTAGTCGGCGCCCCACCTACTCCCCCTCTAGCGCCCTGTTAGAGTGTGTTTTCGGACAAAGCACATGCGGCGTCGGCAAAGAGGTCCTGGTCAAAGGTGGTCTGCATGGTTCGGCGACGGACTCGGCGCCTGACCTGGACCTGTCGTGCAGTGGCACGAGTGCTTTGGGTTTTCTTTAGTGAGTCTTCGAGTTTGGTTTTGGACGACAAGGCGGCTGTGTAGGGATAATGTTCTCCATGCTCTACTCCGTTAAGACTTAAGAGGATTCGTGGAGCCCGGTCTCCAATGATTCTTTCGAGATTTGGTCGGATTTAGATTTCCGGTGGATCCATCTTGATTTGATTGGCTTTTTGTGGCCTTTGAAGTTGTTGCACGCCACTCCCATCGTCCGGAATTACTTGTCTAAAAATTGGATATATTTAAACGTATTTTAAGTTTTAGATACATCAATTTCTATCCATTTTTACGACAAATTTACTATCACATTTCCCCCTAAAGAGTTATTGGCACCAGTTCCCCCCTAGAAATTATCGGTGTTTTATCCCAAACCCCAAATAAGGAGTGCCTTATCCATTTCGCAAATGTATGCGGGCCCATGCGATCAGATGATTAGCTACAAGGAAGGAGATGTATGTACCCAAACCCCGGACGGCCACACGTGGGGTGCGCGTGGCTCCCACACCGACCCAAGCCGCCGCAAGTTGGTTCATCCATTTCAACCTCCCACGAAAATATCTCCCCTTCCCTGTCTCCATCCGCGACTGATTTAGTATTTACTCCCTCCGTAAACTAATATAAAAGCGTTTAGATCACTATTTTAATGTTCTAAACATTCTTATATTAGTTTACAGAGGGAGTAATTTCGTCGAGGCCGTCCAAGTTAGTTGGAGGCTCTCGGCAGCCCGCGTGGGCAGGCCACCAGATCCAACGTACTGCTGTACCACCTATCTGCGCAAGATCCGGGCTTGTCTTCTGGCTCGTGGCACAGTAAATCAAATCGCGAGGGCCGTCCCTCAAACGCGAATCCCTCCCGCGCGAAAAAGGACAAAGAATTGCGCTGCGGAGTTTGCACGCGCGCAGCAGGCGTGTGCAGTGCGACTCAAGGAAAAGTGAAGTTGGAGCAACTCGATCTAGGAATTGTTCGGTCACCATATATACGAGATGATAGAGCCTGCTCCCTCCATTTGGATATGAATGTCGCAGCCGTCCGGTAACACATGGGATCGTCAAAACGTGGCCTTCATGGATTTCGGGGTTTCTTTTCCCCTCATTTTCTTTAATTTTATACTGGCGATTTCAACTCAAATTATTTTTAAGTAAACACATGTGTCGGCACGATAACTTCATCCATCGACATCCTCCTTTGTGCGGTCGATGGGGACGACATCCTCCTCATCATTCACCCTGATGAGGGGCCTGGATCCCACGCGGCCGCCAGATTTGCCGTCGCCACGAAGGAGGATCCAGCGGGTGCAGCTTGCGCTATGGGAAGAGTTCATGTAGTTGTGCGGCGTTTGGGACGGGAGATTCTGCTCCGTCGCCAAGTTGAGCCAATAGGTTCTGTTCTTACGCAGCGTCATTGTCTCAGAATGTGCAGGGGGAGGCAGCTAGGGCTTTGGTGATGGGACGTCTCGCCGCCAGGTTTTTATCCCTTAGGATGAAGCCACGTGGTCATCCGAACGACCGCATTGGGAACCAGAGGAATGGTGAATGTCATTAATGGCATGTGGTGGTTAATTACCGGTCATGTCGACCTACTCGCCAGCCAGTGATCGATAGTCGTATGATGACTCTATTAGAGTGCCATTTTGGTCCGAAATCATGTATGGCGACTCTCCTAGAGTTGCTCTTAGGGTCCATTATTTTTTTAAGTGTTTGGTTTATGTTTTGTCACATCGGTGATTTGCACACACTGACTGTAAAAAAGTAAGACCTGCCTAACTACATATCCGACCTATCATCTACCTCTACCTGCACTGGCGTTGGACGAAGACCTCTCGGAATTTGTCAATTGCCTAGCTCGTCCGCGAGCAAAAACGAGAAGGAAACCGACTGCTCTTCTGACGCGCACACGCTGTGGTCTGTGGAGCTAGCACAATACAGAGAGATACTACGGCAAAGTCGCAGGGGACGCGTCATCTCATGCAAAGTTTCCTTGTCGACAGCGATCTGGGCAGGCACTAGACAGCCATGCATGCATCATGGCGGCACGGCAGTCAACGGGACAAAATCCTTCGAACCAGTTCACAAATTCATCGGCACATATACACACATATAATGGACGGCAAGCAAAATCCCACACGCCATTACATCACAACTTTGCCTCATTTTTGACATTGCCAAGACTATATAATACTGTAGATTAGAGAGAGCACCACACGGCTCCACTTTTTCTCAAACTGGTAACCAGCAAACGATGCGTCTATCCAAAGGAGAAACATGACAGCACCAGATAAGGGAGAGGCTAATCAGTAATCACAACCAAAGCACGGCAGGCGGCACGACTTAACCGCGCATCACATTCCACTTGTAAATCCTGACGGCAATAGCCAACAATTATATACTGATAATCAACGGAGAACCAGTAAAATAGGACCAAATCATGCTGCGACAAACTATTCCCCTCCTACTTTGAAGGACTGGTCATACGCAGGCATGAAGAAAAAGGCATTGCAGATATTCCAGGGAGTGGTAGCATACAACTAGCAGAAAAGAATGGCACATACATGACCAGGTATAGTGTCTTTCTCTCGAAAATCAGGTACAGTATTGGGCAAAACACAAAATGCCTGCTTATTATTGCTGTACAACAGACAGGTTGTGAGGCATCAGGGACGAGCTAATATGAGGATGAGTGATCTGAGCAGAGGCAATCGTCCACCAACTGCCGGAGGTTGGGGTTCTCCAAGGCCGCCGCGACTCTCTCCTTGTCGTTCAGCTGCTTGTTTACTGCCAATTCAGCATGTTAACGTCGTACATACCAAAGTACCACTGTTCAAACACAATTGTGCTATACAGCTGCCGTTCTCGTTTTGCCGAGTTCAGCAGGTGCAAAGTAAAAGGGATGCATTGGATATTTTTACAGATAATACTGCCCTGTGATGAGCTATAATATCAGATTGACAGACACAAGCTTAGCCATGAGTTAGATATCTTCTGTCATCTTACGCACCTGATTCTTCATTAGCAAGAGATCCTGGAGCAACTTTTATGTCAATCTGCACATGCATACACAAGAAAGAAAGGAGTCATAGTACTACTGAATAAAATAATTCAACAAGAATCATTATGAAAGAGGGGCATTTTCTTTTGGTGGAGTTCGTTTGCATTATAGCTAGCTCGAAATCTTAACAGTGCTACTGAAGACAGACCATCTGAGCAGATAACTTGTAGATCCATGAATAGTATTATACAGTAAATAAAAGTTCAAAAGAATCAAGATGATTTATAGTTCCTCTGAGGCAGATAAACCCCCCATCATAAATGGTTCAGTAGGTTTATGAGCGCTCTTATAGATTGTAGGAGTTTCTACATGCACACAATTTACAGTGTATGGCTTGTGCTGCCTGTCTGCTTCTCTTGATACACACAATGTTTACGAATTTGCAAACATGCACATGTGTAGTATATGTGTGGCAAGTGTCTTGATGGATGAACAAACAATACGTTTGTAATAGTTAACTCTGTGACATTCCATCTATCCCATATTTCACCGAACAGAGACAGAGGAAAAGAAAAATATTGCCTAATTGAACATGCATGTAAACTCTAAAACACTGGATAATGGCTGCTGATGGCACGTATGCTACGTAAAACATAATGTAATCTATAAAGCATCTCAATTAGTTGACTTAATCAGAACCTGATGAACACAGAAAGGGATCCATATAGAAACATGCTAAGCACCTTGTAATGCGGAGGAAAGTTTTGCATCAATTTAAGCCTGAGGCACAGACCAATCACTGTGGCCATACTGCAGTGTTGCACAGTTGGGGTGAAGGTTATCCTGCAAGCAATTGTAAGGTGTGAACAGTGATCCCCAAAAGTTTAAGCAGGATGATAGTTCTTGACTTCTTGCGTGAAACAAAACAGATTTTGTACGAACAGATTGTACTGTACAACGAGGATGTTTCATTTGCAATACGTAAATGCATTCTGAAGCTCGCAGATCCCGTATACAGAGTGAAGATGATATATAAGGATGAGCAACCTAGTGGGAAACCAAATCCCAAGCAGCAAGGAGAGGCATACTTTTTTTTACTTTAATTTATTTTTGATAAAAAGCAGTGAGCGCTGCACTTGTGTATGCAGCGTGCTTTCAAGATCACGCTCTGAATCTCCACTGAGATATAAACGAGAAAGGATCATATATGGTAGCTATTATCTGTGATAATAATCATCTTGTCACGGGTGTAAATCCAAATCTGGCTAGCCGGACTGCGTGAACCGGGCACGGGTTCTACATTTCCACTACAAACCCACAATGATTCTGGCTGCTAATACAACTAGTACTACAGGACACTGCAAGAGTAGCAATGAACATTGGAAATTATTGGAAATTAACACTGAGTGCTACTAGTACCTCCTAGTCCCAGCCCCTACTAATTTGGCAATTTGGTACCCTGACAATCAGAAGAAAACTTGAGCAGCAGAGTCTTGCAGGCGTACGTACTGGATGTGGCCGAGCTTCTCGTCGACGGAGACGGACTCCTGGGAGAGCACGCTGAGCTGCTCCAGCGAGTAGGGGTGCTCCGGGTCCTTGATGTCCCGCACCGTATCTGCACGCACGCGCCCAAGTCAGTCAGTTCCCCCGTCGCCGTCGGTGAAGCCAATCCAATCAATCAATGGAGGGAGGAAAAAACGAAAGAGGAAACCGAGTAGGGGATCCGGGCGCTTCCGTTACCGAAGACGTCGAGCGCGTCGAGCGCCGCGTGCGCGGGGTGGGCGGCGCGCTCCGGCCGCTCGTGCACCACCGGGTTCGCGTTGATCATCCCCACCGTCATCTCCCCCTCCCCCTCTTCCCCGGCGCGGCGCGGCGGTGCTCTGCCGTGCGACTTCGGTCGTCGGCCGAGAGCGAGAGACAGAGCGACAAGAGGACAAAACTGTTGGCGAGCTAGCAGTTTCGGTTTGGGGAAAAGTCGGGCGAGCGAGCCGGTTTTGCTAATCCGGTGGGCCGCGGCCCGCTAACTTTCCCGCGACATGCGAGATGCCGCCGCCCTGGAGCTCCACGCCGGGGCGCCGCGGACGGCGCTCGCCGCCGCCGCCGACCACTGCGCGCGCCTCCTGCGGCAGTGCGGCGCGGCCGCCAACCCGGGCGCCGGGCGCGCCGTCCACGCGCGCGCCGTCAAGGCCGGCCTCCTCGCCAGCGCCTACCTCTGCAACAACCTCCTCTCCTACTACGCCGCCGCCGGAGGAGGCGGCGCCGGCGGCCTCCGGGAGGCGCGGCGCCTGTTCGACGAGGTCCCCGCGGCGCAGCGGAACGTGTTCACCTGGAACTCGCTGCTGTCGAGCTACGCCAAGTCGGGCCAACTGGCCGACGCGCGCGCCCTGTTCGCGGAAATGCCCGAGCGCGACGCCGTGTCGTGGACCGTCATGGTCGTGGGGCTCAACCGCGCCCGCCGCTTCGGGGAGGCCGTCGAGGCGTTCCTGGACATGGTTGGGGACAGGCTGGCGCCGACGCAGTTCACGCTCACAAACGTGCTCTCGTCGTGCGCGGCCGCGGAGGCCGGCGGGGCCGGGAGGAGGGTGCACTCCTTCGCCGTCAAGCTCGGGCTGGGCGGCTGCGTGCCCGTGGCCAACTCGGTGCTCAACATGTACGGCAAGTGCGGGGACGCCGAGACAGCGAGGGCTGTGTTTGAGAGGATGCCGGCGCGGAGCGTGTCGAGCTGGAACGCCATGGTGTCGCTCGACGCCCGTCTGGGGAGGATGGACCTTGCTTTGTCCTTGTTCGAGAGCATGCCGGACCGGACCATTGTCTCATGGAACGCGGTCATCACGGGGTACAACCAGAATGGGCTTGACGCCAAGGCACTGTGGTTCTTCTCCCGGATGCTGTGCGATTCTTCTTCCATGGTGCCGGATGAATTCACAATCACCAGTGTCCTGTCAGCTTGCGCCAACCTTTGCATGGTGAGCATCGGAAAGCAGGTGCATGCATACATCTTACGGAGCGGAATGCCGTGCGTCGGTCAGGTCACCAATGCCCTCATCTCAATGTATGCCAAGTCCGGCAGCGTTGAGAATGCCAGGGGGGTGATGGACCAGGCAGTGGTGGCCGATCTGAATGTGATATCCTTCACCGCTCTCCTGGAAGGCTATGTCAAGCTTGGAGATATGAAGCGTGCAAGGGAGATCTTCGATATCATGACCAACCGAGATGTCGTCGCCTGGACTGCGATGATCGTCGGCTACGAGCAGAATGGTTACAATGACGAGGCCATGGAGCTCTTCAGGTCAATGATCAGAAGCGGACCAGACCCAAACAGCTATACGCTCGCTGCTGTTCTTAGCGTCTGCGCGAGCCTGGCATGTCTTGACTACGGCAAGCAGATCCACTGTAAGGCCATCAGATCACTGCAGGAACAATCCAGCTCCGTCAGCAACGCCATCGTCACCATGTACGCGAGGTCAGGCAGCCTGCCATTGGCGAGGAGGGTGTTTGATCGGGTCCGCTGGCGCAACGAGACGGTGACATGGACGTCGATGATCGTAGCCTTGGCGCAGCATGGCCTGGGAGGAGACGCCGTTGGCCTGTTTGAAGAAATGCTCCGAGTCGGCGTGAAGCCGGACCGAATAACCTATGTCGGCGTGCTCTCAGCGTGCACCCATGCTGGCTTTGTGGACCAAGGGAGGATGTACTACCAGCAGATGCAGGACAAGCATGGCATCGTGCCTGAGATGAGCCACTATGCGTGCATGGTCGACCTGCTCGCCCGTAGCGGCCTGCTCTCCGAAGCTCAGGAGTTTATCGGGCAAATGCCCGTGGAGCCCGACGCGATCGCCTGGGGGGCGCTGCTCTCGGCCTGCAGGGTCCACAAGGACGCGGACCTGGCGGAGCTGGCGGCGGAGAAGCTGCTGTCGATCGACCCTGGCAACAGCGGCGCCTACTCGGCGCTCTGCAACGTCTATGCCGCCTGCGGGAGGTGGGGCGACGCGGCGATGGCTTGGAAGCGGAGGAAGGACGGAGGTGTGAGGAAAGAGACGGGGTTCAGCTGGACGCACGTGCGCGGCAGGGTCCACGTCTTCGGGGCGGATGACACCCTGCACCCGCAGAGGGAGGCTGTCTACAGGATGGCTGCCAAGATGTGGCAGGATATCAAGAAGGCTGGCTTCGTGCCGGACCTCCAGTCGGTCCTGCACGACGTCGATGACGAGCTCAAGGAGGAGATGCTGAGCCGGCACAGTGAGAAGCTCGCCATCGCGTTCGGCCTCCTGGCCACGCCGGAGGGGACGACGCTGCGGGTCATGAAGAACCTGCGGGTGTGCAACGACTGCCACACGGCGATCAAGTTCATCTCCAAAGTCGCGGACAGGGAGATCATCCTGCGGGACGCCACGAGGTTCCACCATTTCAGGGATGGGTTATGTTCTTGCAAAGATTATTGGTAGAAGACCTTCTGATTCCCAAGGAAGGAGGAATGAATGCGTTGTTGGTTCATTCTTGCAGATCTAACCGCTCCAGAAGAAGGGGCAGGTCTATGGTTCATACATGTCAGCAGCACACTGCGGTATTCCAGATGGATCGCAACAAGTCGCCTGGCCCAAATGGGTTCCCGGCTGAATTTTGCCAAAAAAATTGGGAAGTCGTCAAGTGGGATTTGAAATCTCTGCTTGATGACTTTCATATCGGACAAATAGATCTCTAGGCTTAGTTATGGCGTAGTTGCCTTGATCCCAAATGCAGGGATGCTAAATGAATACAAAAATTCAAACCCATTTGTCTCCTCGACGTGAGTTTCAAAATTATACAGAGGTTCTCATGAATAGGAACCATCGAATCAAAGCCGGATGGATGAAGTGGCGCCAAGCTTCTGGCATTCTCTGTGACAAGAGAGTGCCACAAAAGTTAAAAGGCAAGTTCTACAGGACGGCGGTTCGACCCGCAATGTTGTATGGCGCGGAGTGTTGGCCCAAATCTTTCAGTTAGGTGTGGCGGAGATGCGTATGTTGAGATGGATGTGTGGCCACACGAGGAAGGATCGAGTCCGGAATGATGATATACGAGATAGAGTTGGGGTAGCACCAATTGAGGAGAAGCTTGTCCAACATCGTCTGAGATGGTTTGGGCATATTCAGCGCAGGCCTCCAGAAGCTCCAGTGCATAGCGGACGGCTAAAGCGTGCGGAGAATGTCAAGAGAGGGCGGGGTAGACCGAATTTGACATGGGAGGAGTCCGTTAAGAGAGACCTGAAGGATTGGAGTATCACCAAAGAGCTAGCTATGGACAGGGGTGCGTGGAAGCTTGCTATCCATGTGCCAGAGCCATGAGTTGGTTGCGAGATCTTATGGGTTTTACCTATAGCCTACCCCAACTTGTTTGGGACTAAAGGCTTTGTTGTTGTTGTTGTTGTTGTAGGTTCTCATGAATAGGCTGAATTGCGTAGCTGGTGCCGTGATTTCCCCTTTCCGGACAGCTTTTGTTAAGGGCAGACACATAATGGATGGGTTATTAATTGTACATGAAACCTTCAATATTATCCATACCAGAAAACAAGATGCTCTTCTTTCCAAAGATGATTCTGAAAAGGCCTATGAGAAAATAAAATTAGATTAGTGTTCATTAGTTTCCAGAACCATTTAGAGACATAGGCTTTGTTCATGTAACTGAGATTTTGTACACCCAAACCACCCTGGTCCTTTTTGTAAACACACCACCAACCGTCTAACTAGTGTTTTAACACAGGACAGGAATCACTATAATTCGAAACATATATGTGAAGAATCAATGCCTGTCCTGTGTCATAACTAAGCCTGGTGATTCCTAGTTCTGGGCTGGGTTAATTGCCAACAAGAAAATTTATTTTTTATTTATGCAAACACCGTGTGGGTAATGGCAGACACACGTGGTTTTGGGAAGATTGGTCGATTGGTAATAGGCCATTAGTGGGATCCTATCCTCGCCTGTATAGCATTTGCCTAACTAATAATGTTGGTGTTGCAGATGTTCTGAAGAATGGACGGGACTATGTTAAATTTAGAAGAACCTTGTGTGGGGGTGATACTCTGACTATTTTGGAAGAGTATTCAGGAACCTTAGTGCAGAAACACACGTTGCTGATTGTGATGATACGGTCGAGCGGTCAATCGCTGCTAATGGGATGTTTTCTGTCAAATGCATGTACAGAGCTTTACGGGCGCACGAGTTCCTCTGGAAAGTCAAATGCTGATGAAAATCAAAGTCTTTCTGTGGAATAACAGCATGCGAAGGACAATTTGCTGCACCGAGGATTGCGTGGAGATGGTTCCTGCCGGTTCTGCGGGTGTCCTGAAACTATCCATCTTTCGCCAAGTTCCTGATATTCTTTGGTTCCTGGCTCCCGGGATTTAAGCAGCAGGAACGGAAATTGATTGTGGTTGCTTGGGTGGCGTCCATTTTGTGGACGGTTTGGAAATGCCGGGATTGTGCTTGCTTTGAGAATGAGATTGGTGATTCATCTAGTTGGACATTGGCTTTACTCATGGTTATTTTTTTTTTTTTGCAGATAAAACAGGTAAATCGTGAGGCGAAGACCTTGGGGGGCAAAGCTCTTCGAGCAAATAGCAAATGAGGTGTTCCATTCAAGCCATGGCTGGCGAATCGTTAGTAAGATCAGTGCTGATCGATGCATTCTACTGCGAGGACTTCGCAAGGAGGATGGGGGATTTAAATTCAACCTCTTGTGTCTTTTGTTTACTTTGCTGGAAGCTTCTTTGGGCCTGTAACAAGTGTTTGCTGCTGTTTTGCGCCCTTGTGGGGTATGTTTTGCCTCTCAAGTGTAAAAACATTAGGTTTCACATATATGAAGTTTGGGAGGGAGCTCTCTTTCTTCAAAAAGAAAATGTCAGCTCACGGAAAACCAGTGAATTTACTGCTAACTTGAAGCTTCCGTTATGAAGAAAGCCAAAGTGTCTTCCAGAAAAAACATGAAAGTGTAAACAAAGTGTAACCCTGCAAGTGCTTATCTAGCAACATTCTTTCACGATAGAGTGGGCTGAATGGGGAAATAGCATGATCCAGCAATTTCGGCAAAAATACGGCTGCTTCCACCCGTTCTGGGACTTGGTACAAAGAAAAGTGTCCTGATACCGACCTATACCCATCAGCGTCTCAGCAACCAGACAGAAAAAAAAAGTATCCATTTAACCTGTTTTTCAAAATCTCAGTTGTGAACATCACTGAAGATCGTCGGGTCAAAAGAACAGAGGTACACGTTGCAAACGCTGTAGCAAAACAAAATAATGGCACCGGAGCCCCACTCTCTGTGATTCTTGATTTCCAAAATTTTGGCTCCTGGGATGTGGTAGACATGTTAGTCTCTGGAGGAAGCAGCCGTCCCACCCATGGCATGGTGACAAGATTGGTCAAGATTAGCCTTTGAGTGCTGCAGCTCCATGGCGCCTTTCCTTCTTGAAGCGAGCTTGATCTGGATCAAAGCCACCTTCGTCTGCGCCATAGACGGCCCATGAAGGCGTCACAGCCATGTAATCGCTGCTCTTGAAAGGCTTTCCAGATGTCACCTGCATTGGTGAATGAATGTCAACTCAGATGAAGCTATCTTTTTATCACTCATATCCCAATCTCTATCTACATCAAATCTGGGTACAATTTCTTAATGTGTGGGAGTGCCACGCCATCACAATTTCTCCCTGCCATCTGATTTTCACACAATGGACGCAAATGTAATAGGAAAGTACTCAATGCACAATGCAAAAATATGGGCTCTAAAATGTAGTTCTTCACAATTTTGCATGTACACATATTCTAAGATGATCTAGTGCTGCAGTTTGCATATTTAATGTACAGTACATAATTAATACTTGAGTGTGAACATAGGCTCATATGTACAAGACGATTTCATTTTAGCAGCCTACTGATAGATGATGCATGTAGAATATCAACTTATTTACCGAAACAAATGCTCAAATCATCAATTACTCTTCAATGAAAGCTCACCAGTTCATTGAATCGGTCGTAATCTATCCAGGTATGCCATTTTCCATTGATCTTGAACTTGTCCACCTTTGCAAGTAGGACACAGCACGAATGCACATGCTCACAGGCTAATTCATATATGCCACCACTTTTTGATGCCAGCACCTCAGAGAATTCTTTAACGTCAGCATGCCATGGGACATTTTCCATTGTCAACTTTGAAGTTGCTGACCTGTAGGCATTACCGGAAAATATCAGCGGAGAAGATCAGCAACCCAAGAAGCCAAGCCAGAATCAGCAGGCGATATTTTATTTTATTTAAAATACACTTACGAGCCACAGTATGTTACACCCTTGATTTCAATGAAATCAGGTTGCCCAAGTTTTAGTAAGTTTGCATATGCATCAATCTCTTCCACATTCCAGCCTTTGACCAATGTCAGTCGGTACACCGTCCTTTGATCTTTGTCATGCAGGGACTTGAGCGAATCCTAGTATGATAGCGAAGTAAATAGCACACAAAAAGAAGAGTTAGTATTTGTAAACCATAATTTCATAATGTGCATCTGCAAATATTTCTGCATATATACCAGAAAACGCTCCCAGAAGTCCGAAAAGAGTGGCCTGTCAACAGCCTTCAGGCTTTCTTTTGTAGCTGCATCCACACTGACATACAGCTGCAACCATAGAGGCATTAAAATTATCTCTAGAATGTGTTGTCTGCGCATTAAAATGCCAAGGTCTGGATCTTAAGTTCAATCTATTGAGAATATTACCTGGGTGATGGGTTTCAGAGCCTTGATCTTCTCAGGAAATTGAGCATTTGTAACCAGAAACGTAGATATGTGTCTGCGATGTAGGTCATCAACCAGAGTATTTATCTCTGGGTACATAATTGGTTCGCCAACAAGAGATAATGCACAATGTCTAGGGGATAGACCCTCTGCTAGTCGCTCTGGCTTTACTCCTACAGAAAGAGAGCAAGAAACAGCATAATTAAAGACTGCAGTTACTTCTTGATGATACAAATATTATGGTACTAACCAATAGTCCTGGCAGAACCACTGTATTATGTAATCAATAGTTATTAGCTTCCCAGAATATTTATGAGGTTTTTTAATCATATAGAGACTAAGTTCTCAGCACTGCAGGCTGACTACACAAAATAAACAGATCAAAAGAAATTCGCATTTGATGGACCCTGGCATATCTTAATGGAACAGTTCTGCCACAATTACTGCTGGCATAGGGTTGAAACCTTTTAAAGGCTTTATCTGTTTAGGCCAGTTACAGGTGCTTTGCAATGGATCTATTTTTTTGTCCAGGCACTAGAATATTCAGTGCAACTTTAATAGGATTTGGCAGAATAATGCATACCTGGCACGCCTTTCATTTGCTTAACCATCTTCCTGTGTTCGTCAATGGCAGTATTAACAATGTCAAGAGGATCATCCATCTTCCACTTCCAACTCTTCCCAACAGGATTTGTGTGATGCCTCCAACAGAACACACACTTATTTGCACAAGCCAAACTTGGAGTTGCTTCCATGCATCTACAAAATTGAGCATCTAATAATCAGAAAAGGAACACTCAAGGAAGCAAACCACACAAATATTATGTTCTGCAGAGTGGATATATGTTATGAAACCGATCTGTGACATAGAATATGTATGAACTAGTCCAACCATGTATTCAGCAAGCATTCCCATATACAATGTCACAGAAGCAAAAAAAATTACCTGTGGCTTTCTATGCCATAAAATGAGTGCTTGTAACAGCCTCCACGACCTCGAAGCTGTGACTTCGTCCATCTACAAATCTTCACCCCGCTATGGGAACCAACAATTTTGTAGCCCTTGAAAAAAAACACAGGGATTGATTAATAGGGCACTAGATCACCATATGTAGAATGAAAATATACAGGCTAAAAACATAAACTACAGACAAGAACTATAAATAGTTAAACCCATCTATACAGATGGAGAATTCTACCTTATAGGCAAGGACCACAGAGATCTGAGTACATGCACAACCCTAGTGTTAACCAACAGCAGTTTGGGATCAGTAAAAGTTGTCTTAGATCCTAATCGAAAGTTTCATGAAGATGCTTGGTTGATTACTTGGCAGTTGCTTCAACAATCTCACTCTATCATAGCAAATTGCCAGACTAAGTATTCTACACGAACCATTATCTTCACTAGCACGGCATATATTCCCTTTATCGAAAAATATACTAGTTCAATAAATTTAGAGGGGAACTAATTTATTTGCTGCATAGCTATGCTTAAAAACTGCCTCAGCCCACAGAGATCTTAAAATTTTGCTCTGGTCCCTTACGAGTGATGTATGTCAGGTAAGCATAGATAAAAGAATGTCAGAATGTGCAATACTCTATTTTCATTAGGAATCATAGGACTCTTCAAAATTTCAGGTCGATGCGCTTATATACATATGCAATCAAGAGCATTATGTATAACAAAAAGAATATAACAAGAAGTTGACGCTCACTTGTTTCTCCAAGCTCGCCCTGATGATGGGCGTGACCATGGCCCTCGCACCATTCTGCCCTCCATTGGGCAAAGCACTCTCCACCTTCCCATTCTGCTTCTTTGCTGTCGCCTTGCCGGCAATGTCCTCCATGTCAACCTCCCCACTAGCCACCTCCTCCTCCTCTTCCTCGTCATCATCGTCATCATAATCGGACTCCTCCCCTTCCAGCCCATCAAATCCATTGGTCTCTCCATCGACCGCATCGTCCTCAACCTCCTCCCCTTTGACCACCCTGAGCACCCTCCCGCACCACTCCTCGAAAACGTCGTCGAGGTCCCCCTCATCCACGTCGCCCTCCCCGACGGGCAGCACCTCGACAGCCCCCAGCGCGCGGAGCCACCGGGAGAAGCTCCTGGCGGCGGCGTTGAAGGTGTCGCCGTAGGCGCGGGAGCCGACGCCGAAGACGGCGAAGCGGAGGCCCGAGAGGAGCAGCGCGCCGGCGCGGAAGTCGGCGGCGGTCTCCGCGAGCCAGCGCGCGAGGAAGGCG